ATCTTTACAATTCCTTAAATCGCTTTGCTTTGCTTGGAATAAGATGTATATATTTCCCGCACATGTCATGGCCCCCAAGGAATGGGGAGACCAGGGTGGGAGTAATTCATGGCTCAAGGTAAGAGGTGAGTATGGATTGACTGGTCCTCCCCACTTCGAAGACCCAAATCAAGCCAGCAGGGGGCAGAAAGACTGAGGGATGTGACTGACAAGTCCAAGAGGTGATCAGGCACCCAGAGGCTGAGAGGGAGCTCTCTGAAAGCACCTTTCTCTCTTCCACAGTCGATTTGCATCGTGAGCCAGACCAACAGATCTTCAAAACCGAGAACCACGAGAGAAGAAGAAGAAGAAGAAGAAGAAGAAGAAGAAGAAGAAAAAGAAAGCAGCCATCCTAGGAATTTCCTTGAAAAACAACTCAAGATTTGCGTGCTTTTGGAGGCCAGGCTGCAAAGGCTGCAGGAGATGGACCAAAAAGAACCACCACAACAAAACGACCCAATCACTTCAAGGGATTCCACTATATGGGAGAAAGTGACAAAGACCTGCTGATGCTGGAGAAGGGAAACTCAGCGCACTGCCAGGCAGTGATACAAGCAGATCTCTGTCCTGTGCAGAGATGCAGATTTATTTCCAAGGCGCATTTCCCGTATTGCTGGTATCTCAGCTCCTGCTGCTGCTTCTTTCAGAATTCCCAGCTGTGTGGTGGCTCCGCTGCTATTCTGATGGAGCAGTGGGGTTGCGCCCTCCGGAGCAATTCTCCCCTTGGGGTCACACACACACACACACACCAGATGCGGAGAAAGGGAGGCACCTTCCCTGTCATGGCCCCCTTTGACTCCCCCGCCTCCTCCTCCTCCTCCCGCGGGAACTCTCTGGAGTTTCAAACTTCCTTCTAGACTCTGCAAACGCCCAGGAATAGCACCCTGCTCACAAGTGGCCACAGACACCTAACGGACCACTCAGTCAGCCCCGCTCTTTCCTGCCCAGGGATGCACCTAAGGGGAGGGGAGGAGAAAGGGAGGAGATTCCTTCTGCGCTATGCATTGAGCTCCTGTCAGAGGCTTGCCACGTAAGCTGGAAAGAGCCCGTTGGGGCTCTGGCGTTTGTGCGTGTGTGTTTGGTCACAGGTCGGAGATGCAAAACAGGTAAGGCGATATCTTGGGCTGTCTAACTGCTGCGCTCTCCGAACGCGCAAGCTTGAGGGCTCCACAGAAGACTTCCTACGTACTCTTCTCTCTTTCCCCATAAACAGTGGTTGAAGACCTCTGTGCCAAAAAGTCCCACGCTACAGCAGCTCAAAAATGTCAGTCCCTTTACTGCTTATTTCTCGCCAGCCAAAAAGGGAGCTGCACTCACATACTCAGAGGGCGCCAGTCGGTTCCTGATACCTGAGAGAGACATTTAGGATCGAAGGGAGTTTACTGCTGTAAAGAATCCCCTGCTGATCTATTTTTTTATTTTAACATTTATTTATTCCACCCCCCTTTGAGAAAGTGGCATGACTTGAAGTCTACAGACAGTGTCTCCCACCTCCTATTTCAAGTATTCACAAAGCCCCCGCTCCCTTTCCTTCCAGCCTCTCTCTCTTTGGCCAAGATTTTGTGAACTTGATCGGCTTAATGACTTCGGCAAGTTCAAGAGGCGCTGCGCTGGTGGTGAGAGTTTGCAGAAACCATTTTCCCCAAGCGTTTCCAAAAAATTGGCCGGGCGCACAAAGAAAAGTAGCTTTGTTCCGAAAGTGTCCCGCATTCTTTCCCAGTTTTAGCACCTTCCCACCGCCGCTGCTCCACGACTCCCTGAAAGCCTCAAGAAGCTGGAGCGGAGGAGACTCGCAGCCTGATCCTATGGATATTACGCTGAAACTGACATGAGTTCAGTGTAAATTTAGTACTCTCAAGCAAGCAGCAAGGTAGAAGCCTGCGACTAAGAGAATCTGAGCAGAAGCATCACCAAACCCGCCACTGGTCACAGGGGGTGGGTAGGAAAACTCCCCCCCCGGGGGACTTCATGGAAATGTCATGCCTCCCCCCGCCCTAAAGTCCGAAGGAGCTCAAAGTTGGGGTCAGGGATTAGCTCAAGCGCCTGGCTTCTACGCAACAATCAGAAGAGGCAAGGAATCCTCTGAGCGCGCACAGAGTGCCTTCCACCACTCCAGAGATGTGAGCGGACTTGTGAGCCCGGGTACCTTTGGCTAGACAAGTCAGGGGCTTCCCTGCCTGCTATCTTCTCCTCCCGCTCCCTCACCACCACCCCGTTCCCAAACGGGGCACAGGAGAAAGCGGCGATGGCAGCCCGGCTGGCCTCCTTCCTTACCTCCCCTGACCTCCGCCGCCTCCAGCAGGAGCATCCAAGCGACGAGTAGCGCGGGCCAAGCGGAGTCCCAGAACCACCGTTTCGTTTTCCACCTTGTGGACCATGTCCGCCTCGTCTCCATGGAGAGGGGTGCCTCCACCGCCGAGCGTGCCAAAAAAAACCTCGACGCGCGCGCCCCCCTGCCCAACCTCCGGGGCGCCTTGGCCCCCTGCGCGCTGCTGGCTCGCTCGCCTGGCCCGCCGTCGCCTCCTCCGCGCCACTTATATTCCCAAAGGCGCCGCGCCGTCTTCTCTAGAGATCCATCCGATCCGGTGTGCCAAAGCGGGGAGTGGGGAAAATGAAAAGAAAGGTGCCTGGAGAGGGTCCGAGCGAGAGAGAGAGAGAGAGAGGATGGTCCCTCGCTGCCGGCTGGGTCTCGACAGCCCGGCTCCAGGCCCTTCCGATGCGCCCTGCTTTCCCAACTGCAGGGCAATGAGGGGCTTCAGTCCAAAGGCGGAGAGCGCAGCATCCCCCCTCAAGGCTGCATCCTGAAAAGAGGGCTGGCCCAGAAGCGCACGGGGAGAACAGCAGCCAGAGAGCAAGCGAGCGAGCGAGCGGACAGCCTCCCTCCTCCGCCTCCTCCCGTCCTTCTTTTCTCCCACCCCCTCCTGCTCCCCCACCCACCCACCCAAACTGACAAGGAGGCTGCCGGCCAGAAGCCAATAGCTCGCCTCCTTCCGCACCCGAAGCCTCGCCCACTCCCTCCCCTCCCCCTGGCCCAAGGAGACCCGGAGCAGAATGCGTGCCAAAAAGCGCTAAGTTTAAGGTGAGCAGGAAAAGTGGAAAGGGGAGACCATGGATAGCAGCGTTTCCAACACACAGCGGGGATTAAAAGAAATAGCGGAAGTGTAATACCAACCCCCCCAAAAAGGATTGATTCGAGGGCTTCACTTACATCTCCCAAACTTTTGGGGTGGTCCATAAACGCATAGACAGGGGCCCCAATGAAAGGCATTGTTCAAAATAGTGGTTTGCACCACTCACTAAGGAAGACAACAGCACACTGAAATTCAAACAGTAAATTAATGGCACTTTTATTCAAAATCCCTTTAAAACTATTTAGTTTAATTCATTCAGCAAAACTGATGAACTTGACCGAGTGATATCAACTTTTCAAAGTCTGCTGGTCAATTACACCTTCAGCACACACACCCTTCCCCTTGTCTTTTAGGGGCTGCCATTTCCCAGGGGTGGTATGGCCCCTTTGGGAGCCACTGATTTACACAGTGCTCTCCGAAGTTGAGCCTGACTTTTGGAAATAGTTGCACAAAAGTTACTAGAGTGGGGTGGGGTGTTAGTCTCTCTGAATGTGCAACAGCTCTTTGTATGAATATTGACCTCAAAGAAGAAAAGGACCAGTATTATAAAGTACAGTGGTACCTCGGGTTAAGTACTTAATTCGTTCCAAAGGCCCGTTCTTAACCTGAAACTGTTCTTAACCTGAAGCACCACTTTAGCTAATGGGGCCTCCCGCTGCTGCCACCACGCCGCTGCTGCATGATTTCTGTTCTCATCCTGAAGCAAAGTTATTAATCCGAGGTACTATTTCTGAGTTAGCGGAGTCTGTAACCTGAAGCGTATGTAACCTGAAGTGTATGTAACCCGAGGTACCACTGTATCTGTGCTTAGGAGATGGCTCTGGCTCACCACAGGCGACCAAGCAGGTGGCTAATAGAGAGCCTGCTTGAATCTCAACTAGAGCTATCCCTCCATGGAAAAGGTAGTCTAATAAAGTCAGCCTCTTTGAGACTAGGCTCTTGCTGCTATTGCATAGGGTGAAGTGGAAGAGCAGGATGAGGTCAAATGGAAAACCAAGTAGAAATGGCAAAAGAAATCTTCATCCCTGTACACACCTACAATTTGCCCCCCCCCAAAAAAAATTGTTCTGAGCACAAGATGGAGCGCATGTGACTGATCAATTGTCATTCAGAGTGAAGCTCTTCTTCTCAAACTGAATACATGGCCGCCACCTCCCCTCTCCCAGCTAAAATAAACCCACTAAAGAAACACATCAGTTTGCATCCCTACTACCGCTGAGGAAGGTGCTTATCTCCAAACCAAATTTCTAGTTGATTTTTATGATCTTCATCCATTCTCCCCATAAAAACCCAGGTCAGCTTTTGCAAAAGCCAACAGAAAACACACATGGCTTCTTTAGCGTGCCTAACTATGGATTGGATTTTGTCCACCCAGCTCTCCTGACCTGTGGTGCTAAGGAGAGGTGGCAGATTTTGGCCATTACGGGTAAGGGGGAGACTCATCGATCTGTTCCATGGACACACTCTGCGAGGACACTGCCTGGTGCAACCCACATGGAGGACCATCACTAGACATGGAAGAGCAGCGCCAATTCTTTAATTGTGGCAACACTAGTGAAGGTAGTCGAAGGAATCCAATTTACCAACTAAAGGGGAGCAGATGTGAAGAGCGGCAAATCCCCCCCCCCCCGGCTTACATGCAATTGGGATTAACTAGAGGGGTTTAAGCACCAAATGGAGTAGGTTCCATCCTTTCTACTCTGGAAATTGGAACCCCAACCTTCGCTTTGGAGGTGGAAGCATAGGAAGTTGACATTTATCAAGTCAGTCCCATAGATCAATCTAGCTCAATATGGCAATGGATCCCTGGGCTTTCAGACTAGTCTCTCTTGGAGATGGCAGGGATTGAACCTGTGAACTTCTGCATGCAAGACAGATGATGTACTATTGAGCTACAACCTTTCCCCTGCCGTGTAATAGAGATCTGAGTTTAAAAAGGGTGCCCTGCTGTGCCATGTCCATTTGATGATGTGGATTTCAATCCACAAAAGCTGGTGTGTGTTCTAATAAAACTGCCTGTTTTAGGGTGCAATGAGACTTTTTTGTTGTTCGGCTGCAGGCCCTGTCTTTCCTCTGGAGAAACAAAGACACATCTTCTAGAACCGCAATACTTGGAAAGGATTCATCTCCACCGTGCAATCACATGGCCGACGTGATTCCCCTCACTTGGTAGCAATTGTTTTAATAATTCTGTGGCCTCTACGTCCCTATGATTAAGAACTTCATCAAGTCAGCCAACAGAATTTCATATTTGCAGTGCTGAATAAGAGTGGAGACAACTTTATATGACCAGCTCATGTTGAAAATAATGAAAGGGATATTTCATTACTTAAAAAAAGACATCCAAACAGTGTTTGGTCTGTGATCTGATCCTGGATGGAAAAAGACATTGCTTGCATAGTCAGGAAAAAATAATCCTGTCTGGCTCCACCCTAAGCAACAGATGATCACACCCTTGCTTCTGAATGAAGCAAAGAGACAAGCGCATATAGAATTGGATGCCTTCCTGGATGCTGGGAAGAAGCGTGAAAGAGCACATTTCTTAGAATGTACCACAATACTTACACATTACAGGCAGTTCAAAGAGCACCAGTTAGGATCAGATTTGTATTTCGCCAAAGTTAAATTTGGAGGCTAGAATTAATCACCCACCTCTGCAAATAAGTTCTCGAAACTTACTAGCCCACAAAAATGTTTTACTGCTACCCACACATTCCTGTGTTAATCATTCTTGGCCCAAAAGAAAACACAGAAACAGTGGCTGTCTGCTTATCGAGCAGTGAGTCTTGCCACAGGTGACCAGGTGAAGGTCGATTTTAAAAGACTTACAGTGCAATTTTAATCACACTTTCTCTGAAATAAGCCCTGCTATGTTCAGTGGGACTTGGTTCAAGGGAAAATGCACAAACAAACTGCCTTTTTGGTGCAATCCTAAGCACAACTACTCAGGAGTAAATTCTACTGAGCTTAATGTGGTTTCTTCTTTATAAGGATTTCTAGGATTGCTGCCTTACAGTACAGTCCCATACATGCATACTCAGAACTAGCTGAGATGGCAGATATGGGCAAATCTGTCAATTTTGATTTCTCTTAGTTTCTCATTTCTCATGTCTTATGTTCAGTTTTCCACGTTTCCATGTCAGTTTGTGATTAAAAAAGCCTTGGGGGAAACATACTCACATTTTTGTGTGAATTTCTCCTAACTGACACGTCTCTATGCTTGCTTGTCTCAAAATACATCCTGCAAAACAATTTTACCTAAAATATTGTATTTTTTGTATGCTGTTTCCACTGATATATGGATTTTATCTACACTTTTACCCTCATATATGCATTTTTGTACACATTATTTGGCTGGAGAAATGCATTGCAAAATTCAGAGAAATGCGAATTTCAAGGGATGGCTGGGTTTCAGTTCACATATTGTTTTGGAAACTGCAAGATTTAGTGGGTTTGCCTTTAAATGCAAACCAATTTTTTTTAAAAAAAATCCCCATCCTTATCTGTCTTCTGATGCAGTGTCATGTGACTCTGAATCTGAACTATCAATAGTGAGCCAGAAAGTTCATGGTCAGCAGGTGAATTAACCACATGCTCCAACTTGTTTTAGACAAATCCCCACCCCACCCCCTACAAGAGTCCTATGTGGGAATAATAATACTGTCATGCAAGGATTACCAAAATAATATAAATGATACGCTGTGAAAACATTCTGTGCAGCAGAGGACCAGGTGCATTATCTATCTCACCGGCCACTATATATAAAACGTCTAAAGCAGGATTTATTTATGACCTTCTGACTAAAGTTACTAAGCAATTGGACTCAAGATAGTGCCCAGAAAACTTCTCATCTTTGCACACAGCTAGAGTATTGTAACATATAGACAGCTCTGTTTGCTAAATTGCCGAGAACCTTAGAACTAAGGCGGTGAGGATTTTTGCTACTTTTTCTTCAAAGGGGGGGGGGAATCTGAGGCTTTCCAGATTTTGTTGGACGCGAACACCCACCAGTGCCATCCAGCATGACCAGTGAACAGGATGACCTGTAGTTCTGCAACATCTGGAGAGCCACAAGATCCCAAGCCTTGCTGTGGTTTTTGTGGTCAATCTAGTCCTTTGTAAAATATTGTTGGCATCTGTCTGTCTTCGGAGTGCTCCTCCAGGGGTGACATCACATCGCTGTGCTAGCAGCACTGAAATTATCTCCCTGGGGCGAGAGCCTGGGCAGTGTGTATGGAGGTCCTGGGTTGCCTTCACAATTTGGCCTTGCTGATATGGTTCAAAGGAAAGCAGAGCACAAGTTGCCAGAAGGAGGCATACAAGGTGCCTTCCAACTGCCTTAGGGACTCCACTCTGGATTTGTGTAGGGTTTACTCCTTAGCCTTTTCTTGAAATACTTTATTGTCACTTGTACAACTTGTATACAGTGAGATTATATGAACACCCCCCACTCAGCTCTCTTAGTCAATTCCCCTCGTTTACTGACGCACACCCACCAAACCCAAAAGTCAGTTGCCCTGTTGTTATCTTTTCATTCAGCAGTCTAACAGCCAACGGATAGAAGCTGTTCTTTACCCTGTTGGTGCGACTAATCATGCTTCTATATCTTCTGCCCGAGATTGACAAGATCAAGAAAGTGCCGGCCAGGGTGTGAATCATCCCTGAGAATTTTCCTCACTCTCCTGAGGCAACGTTCTTCCGCTATTTCGTCCAGTGGATTCACAGGACAGCCCATAATATCTTGTGCTGTATTCACCACCCTCTGTAGGCACTTCCTATCAGTTGATGTTAAACCAGCATACCACACCGTGATGCAGTATGAAAGGACACTTTCTATTGTTGAGCGGTAGAAGGAGATCATCAAATGTTGATTGACATCGTCCTTTCGCAATACTCTGAGGAGATGGAGTCTCTGTTGGGCTTTCTTAACCACCTGGGTTGTATTTATTTTCCAAGTAAGGTCTTCACTGAGATAAACTCCTAGGAATTTAAAGGAAGAGACTGTCTCCACACTGCCCTCCCCAATGTACCGTGGGGCTAGTTCTCTTCTCTTCCTCCAAAAGTCCAACACCAACTCCTTTGTCTTGCTGATATTAAGGTGAAAGTTGTTTCCTAGGCACCATCTAGATATTTTTTGGACCTCCCCTCTTCTCCCAAAGATAGCCCACAGGGCAGCGGAGGTTTAGGATCAGAGTTTTTCTTCTCTTCAATGGGCTACATTCCCAGGTTGATGAGCCCCATCTGCCCTTCACTTCCCTCTACAGTACATGCAGTAACCACCTTCTTGACAATTGGTCTCATCCGTTCACTCCACCAGAGCCTGTCTTTACAGGCAGGGGAAGTCCCTACCTCACTGAGGGTCTGACACCTATCGGCTACTCTCACCTGGTTTAGCCAGCATTCCTGGGGTGTGGCTACTGTCACATGCTGACAAATTAGGTGCAGTGCAGGTGGGGGTTGACCCAAGTTGATTTGTAGCGACTTGTGCCAATCTGGAACTGAAAACCTTGCCCCTCATGGCTGATAAAAACTAGCAGGGAGAGGACAGTAGGATGGCCCATAGAGGTGATTGATGTCTCCTTGTGAGAGGGGTTGCTCCCTGCCTGCTTAAAGGAGGCACTGATAAGACGACTCCTCAAGCATTTCCCTGCATTCAGAAAATCTAAGTTATTACTGGCCAGTCTCTAATCTCCCCTTCTTGGGCCAGGTTCTTGAGCAAGTGGTTGCACTTGCACACCAGATCCAGACTCTTTTGGATGAAACCAATGTTCTAGATCCATTTCAATCAGGGTTTAGGCCCAGTTTTGGCATGGAAACTGCTTTGGTGTATGATGACCTCTGTTGGGAGAGAGTTGGAAAATGTGTCCCTGTTGATTCCCCTTGGTCTTGCAGCAGCTTTTGGTACCATTGACCATTGTATCCTTCTGCAGTAGCTGTCTTGGGATAGGCAACATCAGTTTGCTCTTGTTTCAGTCCTACCTGGATGGTCGTTTTCAGAGGGTGATGCTTGGAGAGCATCGTTTGGCCCCATGGAACCATCATTGTGGGGTTCCACAGGGTTTTAGTTCATCCACCACATTGTTAAACATCTAAATGGAACTGCTGAGTAGGGTCCTCTGGAGTTTGCACCCCATATGTTGGAGATTTCTCCTTCTTGAGCAAAGTTCATTCCTACCTCCCACCATGTGTAGTGAGTGTGGCTTCCCCAAAACAGCCTCGTGTGCCAAATGGGGAGGCATGGTCAGTGGTTTCCTATTCCTGGATTACACAGTTTGCTATATAACTTCATGTTTGGAACCGACAGAACCCTCCCCTCCCATCTTTTTCTGTGTACAGTCATAGCTTGGATCTCAAACGACTTAGTAGCTAAACAAATTGGCTCCCAGACTCCACAAACCTGGAAGTAGATGTTTCGGTTTGCGAACGTTTTTCGGAAGCTGAACTTCCGACTTGAGTTCCGCGGCTTCTGATTGAGTGCAGGAAGCTCCTGCAGCCAGTTAGAAGTTGTGTCTTCATTTTTGAACGGTTCTGGGAGCCAAACGGACTCCCAGAATGGATTACGTTTGACAACCAAGGTACCACTGTATAATATTCTTAGCTTCATTCTCACTTATTATTTTTCCAAAAGAAATTTAATACCAACTGTTGCCATTTATTTCCTTGTTGCCTTGGTAATAACTGAAACAGGAAATTTTGGTTAAGCAATAATATCATTTTAACAGTGAACATCCCTGCAAAAAAGGATAAATGTGGTTTCCCTCCCCCCCATTGAAATACGAGTTAAACACTTTCTTAATACAGCCTCTTACAGTTTTCACACAGTCCCTTCATATTATATCATAGTCTAATCCCTAGATATTTACTAGTCTTTTCCCCATTCATTCTTAAATTTCTCCTTTATTTTT